GACTATCAATTTCGCTTCCCTAAAAATAAATGTTCAAATTTTATGAATGAAAAAGTCATGTTAAGGTAGGGTTAAAGAGATATAAAATAAGAGTAAGAAAAATTAATTAAAAATTCTTAACCCCACTTTCTACTAATATTTTAATTGAACTCCTTAAAATGTTTCTTCTTCTCTTCTCCTTTTCATTTCTCTCTCGTACCAAACTAATTTTGACAACATGACTTGATTGTTTTAGATGATGTATAAATGTATTCAAAATAAGAAAAATCTACTACAGACAAAATTCCAAATGTACATAAAAGTACGACTTACGAGTTTAGTAAACCTATAATATCATTTAAGTTCTCTTAAAGCATGGCAGCACAAGTGAGAAACCATATATTGAAAATTTCAAACAATATTTGGTTCAGAACTAATGGTGTTATCATCTGAACCCTACCCTTTATCTTTGACCATATCTTAAATCAGACTAATCTTCCACAATACCTCACCTTCCCCATCTTACAAACCAAAAAAAAAAAAAACAATTTTTTTTAAAGAAAATGGACATATGGTTGCAATGATAATAATAAAAAATTGTTTATAAAAGTCCCACCAGAAATAAACGTGGAAACCAGTGTACTAAATTGTAATCCTACACTACAAAGTACAACGGCAATGTGAAATGGAAACAAGCTAACTTGAGATAATTCAAGTCGAACTTATTTGACAAGGTGATTGAATGCATAATTTTCCTAATATATCGGTGATTATTTAGCATATAAAAAATGAGATCTCATTTTTTTTTGTGTTACAAAGAACTTTGCAAATAAATAAATTTGAATTCCTGAATTCAACTCTATGACTCTATGCATTACCATAAACAAAACAAAAAAAAGGAACTAGGAATTCACACCCACAAGTAAATATCAAGAGCATTCATTCAAGCCTTCGGTGAGGCAGTCCAGTCAAGTAATGTCGATTCAAAGCACAAAAACGCGTGCTTGGACAAACCAGTATTTAAAAAAGACTGGGATCTGGCCATGAACTTTGAACTAGTCCACTGGCGGCATTCTAATAAATGATGCAATAATAATGCTTCTTTTGCTATCACTGCATGTCCAAATGGTCTAAAGCCATAGGGAGCAATCTGGGAAGACTTCAGACTCCATCTGAATCAGTAGTGACTAAGCTTATTCATCTGTTGATCCAAATACAAAAGTCAATTACCTAACTCTTTTCTTAACGTTATATACTTTTGTTCCCAACGATGACAAATCCAAAGCAAATTGAATCAGCTCGTCTTCAGGAGAATGGAGTTTCTGGTCAGGCTGCCCATCTCATCAAGGGCGAAATAGTGGTAGTGCATAGCCATTCGCATCAAGACGCTCCATTGGACTGGGAAAACCTTTTCGGTATGAATACCTTTCAGAAAATTAATTCATCTTCCACCTTTTGCAAGTCTAACTCCGTCCAAATGAAACTTGTCTCGGGAAATGCCACTCATTCTTCCATCTGTGACCATCCCTGTCTAAGTACAGAGATAAAATGAAGCTGTTAAAATATTTAAAAAATGAATGAACGTATTAAATTTATTATTTAAAACAAAAAACAAAATAACAAAGATTTTAGAACTGTCGAAGATTTTATAAAATGTCACAACACAACAGTAAGGTTTAAAATGTATTCCCAAGCATGCATGTATATGTCTATTTAAGTGTGTACACACAGTGTATGTTTATAAATGTATTCAAGCGTATACTAGCACATTTTCATATTGTTTATATGAATAAATGTGCATGCGTGTACAGGCACCTGTCCCTGAGTCCCTCACATGCTTGTATGTGTATTCACAAATGGACAAGAGACAATTAGAAGAAATATAAGGTGGGTCAAGAATTTAACTAGGGTTCACACTTGGAAGCTCATAACAAGGATGCAAAATGCCCAGTAGCCAGTCGTCAACTAGTCATAATATCAAGAGAAGATACTCGGGTTACACAAAGAAAGAAAATATTAAGTTACGGTAAGCAGCCGACATAAGAAGCAAACATCCACTTGCTCATGGACATTATTGAAGAGAGGAAGTAAGATATTAGAAAGAACACCTTCGATTATAAAATGTAAAGAATGAAGCAGCAAGCTGTTGGGATGCATTGTGAATGCAAACCTATAAAAATCATGAAAAATTAAAGATGCACATCAAGCGTAAGGAAACAAAGCTTTGCTATAATTATAAATATGCATTGTCAGAGTTAAGACCTATATTAAGGATCGATTACTAAGATAGCGAGATTAAGTAAAGACATGAAAATGATCAAATGGACCACAAAGGACTTGCGCAATCAAAATTGCACAACACAAAAAAAAAAAAAGACTAAATACAAAAATTCATGTAGTTTAATATGATTAAACACAGAAATTCCGGCAGTTTAATATGCCTAGCAAGACAGAGGTATAAGGAAAATTTTCTGACTGAAAAAGCATTCCAAAATGTAGTTGCATGGATGGAAGAGTCTATCCTATATCAAATAAAGACAAAATTTGAAAAATCAAAATTTAAAATAGATGTTTAATTACCTATATAGACCTTGAACTGGTAAAATAAGAACATATCCTGCAGGCGTTGCAGAGCTATGCATATTCTGCAGGATGTCAATGTAGGATGGCTGATGGCAACGATTGCTTTGTGGCCTCACACATTCCAATTGGATAATAGGAGGAGGAAGTTTCGCACACTATGATATTCCGGTATTACTATGATGGTATAAGCAAGCTCCCTCCATAGTAATCATCAACAGCTGCCTATAAGAATAAACTCTTGACACATAAGCATGAAGAAGGTGAAACAAATTATTGGCGTCAAGATAAATATTTCCAAGACATCAATCAAACAAACATAGAGAAAACATGAATCAAATCTCAAATAAAACATTACTACATTTGGATTATTTGGATATATTTAAATTATTTCAACATATCTTAATGATTGACCCAGAAAACCTATATTTTAGGATTAACATGTGGACAACTATTAACTTCAAAAGTCAGTAGAGTCAGTTACTAGTCTCCTAGTTTCAGGGGAATTTTATTCTTTTCTGCCTCCTAACTGCAAACTTATTCCTTTTGCGTCTCCAACTAGTCCTTGGTGATTATAAATTAATTCAGTTCAACTAAAAGAGAGAATTCCTTTTAAGAATTACTACTTCAAACAATTTTCAGAAACGATGAAACAAAATAGACTCAAATGTATAAGGAATAAAAGGGTGATGAAGGTCATTGATAATATGTATTATTATTCTCAGGGAGGTATCTCAACAGCCTAGTCCTTGAAGTTGTCATCCCTACTTACATCAAGAAAGACTGCTAACCCAATAAATGTACTTAAAATCTGTGTACATCACTATTTCGGCATTTCCTATGCAAATCAAGACGTAAAACATTAGCATATTAAAAGTCTAAAAAAAAATTAGCCAGTAAACACAGAATGAACCAATTTTGACCATATATGGCTAGATGTAGACGAAAAGAAAATTGCATATACAAAAAATGTTTTACAAGAGCAGTTTACGTTTTTCAAGGATTTAAAAACAGGGACAACCAAGTGCCCGCTCTCATTCTCATATAACATTTGGATATAGATCATGCACTAAAATTTAGTTCCATTAAAACAACTAAGGTGAACCTTCCCCCTTGTCCTTCTATGTGCATGTGTGCATGTCTGATAGTCATCAACAGGAGAGAAAGCAGGCATACCTGGAGATAAGGTAAAACCATATCATACACGTGTAGGAAAAATTGTGACTTTGCTGCAAACCTGACATTGACTTTGAGTTACGATAAAGAATGTCAAAATAACGAAAAGGCAAGAGAAAAATCCATTATTCAATATAACAATGATTACAACTATTCCATGTAATTCCCCAGAGAAGAACCAGCATAAAAGAGTTGTATCATTCTGAATGCATGTATGACCCAACACAACAATCAAATGCACTCCAACGGTATCCATAATTCCATTATTTTCATGTCCTATATCCGTGGCAATACCATAGTGAAATTCTTTACGAACTGTGTCATTGATAAAAAGATGTGGTAGATTTCAAAAGTCTAAAATATTTTCCAAAAATCCTCCCTACACTAACATCTTACTTTTTGGTCAAATCAACATAAATTAATCTCACTTCAAACAGTGCTAGGTCAACTTCAGCTCATCTCTACAATCATGCAAATTAGATAATTGAAAATGAACAAAATAGATAATAATTTCACATGATTAGGAAAGTAAATATACATACACATATATGTGCGCCTGCTCATTTACAAACATGAAAGGTGACATTCAATAGAACACATCAAGACACACCTTCTGAGAAGCCGGATACAAATATAAATCTCTTCAATATCCTTCTCTATCTTTGATTCGATATACTGCTTCAGGAGCTCAAACATGAAGTTGATGGTTTCATCAGAACTCTCAGAAGCAGGATCTAGCCGTCTAAATTCGGACATACTTTGGTGCAAAACAAAAGAGAAAGAGTTATAGGCCCCTGATTTTTCATATACTTCTGCAAGTTTCTTCAATACTAAGTAATCGCTGACTTTAAACTTATGAACCCAATGAGGAGGATTCCCAACCCAAAGACTCTCATTCCCATTTGAAACAGGATCACTTGATCTTGGATGATGTTCAGAAGTATTGACTGATGACTCCAGATGGTTTTCTTTAAGAGGAGTCAAAACAGAATTAGAACAAAACGCTTGACTCCTATGCTCAGGAAGCTGCCCAAGGATGTCAGTTTTCAAATCCTCAGGCAGTTGTTTCAACACTGAAGCATCCACTTGACTCAATGAAGAAGGCATTAGATCATCTTGACCAAAAGTTGAATTGTTAGGAACTTTGCCAGGGGCTCCAGCTCCTGAACCTGAAGCTGCAATTGCCTTGGGTTTATGCTGCCTTGCCTAGAAATATACGTAACATTGTAACGACAACAAATTTCCTTAAAAGCAATAGAACAAGCAATACATATAAAAACAAACCAGATTCACCTTTATATATCATCAAACAATTGAAAAATGTGATATCAATGGCAATAAACCGCCATCAAACAGAGCTCAGCTTCTGCTAAGTATGCTGATACTGATGATTTACTTAACAGCAAATGGAAGTCTTGCCCTTTTTTCATAATAGCACGCTTAAATTTTATTTCAAGGAAAACCTCAGCCTTACAAGCTAATTAAAACAAAAATGGAATAATTTTGGTCTGAAAAGAAGGCAGAGCAAATGTAGTTAAATGACAAAAGTGTGAAATATGCATGTAAACAAACAAGTTCATTCCTAGAAAATCATCAACTAATAAAAGCATAAGACCTAATCAAAACAAAAATAGTAGGATTGAGAATTAATTAGGACTAGAACGTGTCTATATAAATTGCAAACAAGTTGCATCAGTTTCCCAGAAATAGGAATGATTAAAAACACAATAAAATAATCCCTTCATATCTAATCACTTAAGCATGGAGATCATTGAAGGCACATAGAGAAGCAAAGTAAAGCTGTTTCAAATAAATCTGAGCTCTCCCATCAAATAGAAGGCGTAAGCCAAGGAATATAGAGATCATGGAAAAGGTCTAACAAGAAAAAAGGAGAAGAAATCTGCAGGATAGCATAAGAACTACCTTATTTTCTGTTGGTATCTTGCTTTCAGGATTTGACTCCGAAAAGGGAAGCTCTTGTTCCTTGTTCATAGCTGCTAAGAAATACAATTTGCAAGCACGTAAACAATTTGATAACCAGCCCAGCAATAATGATATATAAAATATTACCTTCTCGTTGCTCCACAAACAAGTTTCCCAAGGCACTAGTGCTTTCAGTTTTCCCTTTCCCTTTTACAAGAAAATCAACTAGTTTTCCTCCATAAATTTCATTTAATTCTGAGAAGACTTCTGGTGGAAGACTCTTTACAACTTCCGCATCCAGGTGACATAGAGGAGGTGGAGTTGAAATTTGACCAGAGCTAACTTGATCACTCATCAAATTTCTATCCATTTGAACTGAAAGCCCGTCTGAATCTCTAGACGCTTGACCTGAAGTCTCACCCAAATTCCTATTGTCATGAACTGTAGAATAAAAAACAAACAGTAGTTATTTTAATTAATATATGGGTTGATATAATATTTTGTCCTTCAAGTTCGCAATCATTTTGGTTTTGGTCCCTCAAATTTCAAACCATATGTTTTGGTCCCTAAAAGAGCAAAATGGTCCAAGTTTTTATTGGATTATAAGGACCAATATTGTAAATGAAAAGAAACTTGAGGAACCAAAGTTTGTATAACCCCTTAATATAGTTATTGAACTTCATCACAAAAATGAGGATCAGGAAGGGGCAGGGACAGGGAGATCGTGTATATACATACATACATACATACATACATACATACATACATATATATAATAACATGAATAATAACAGAGTTACCCACTGTTCCACAACAATTTCCAATTACCTAAAGGAGAACTCTTTTGTCTCATACTTGTAGAGCCTGAAGCCAGCCAGGATCTTAGAAAGTTCTTTTCTGTACCTTCAAATCAATGAAAGAAAGATGGGAGATTACAGATGATGATGATTGCAAAGTAAAACAACCATAGCATTTCGCAGGCTGCAAATCTCGGCATAAAAAGAAGTTTCCATTGCTTTTCGTAAAAGCAAAAACCAATACATCAGTTGCATCACATTCATATCACGAAATGTTACACATCTCATTAAAAAGCAATAAATAAATAAAACACACTAAAAATAAACAGGTACCTTTTTTAGAAGCATCCGCAGCTTCAAGTCTGGAAACTTGCAAACCAACACCTCGAATGTCCTTGACATCTATGTCAAATCACCAAATAGAGATTATGTTTAAAATTTTAATTAAATTTTTATTGAAAGATATGGATCCCTTCCAAGACTAAGCAGGACATATTTGAATTACCCATGTGGAAAAGTCCAAAAAGCCTTTTTGCTATGCTTTGGATTTCATCCACACAATCAGTAGCAAGCGGAATCTACCATACAAACAACACAATCAGTCCCAGAAATATAAAATTTTAAAAAAAAGAATAAATAAAAAGCTTAGACAAGACAACAAGACAAAGTAGCACACATGTTAAGCATATTTCCTTATTTACCTTCACAGAGTGACTCATATTTTCACAATCTCCACAGCCCATATACTTTGCAGGTTCTTCAGCATCTTTTTTTCTCTTTTTGATCTAAATCATATATCAATGGAAATCAGAAATATGAATTTTTCCTGAGACTGAAGAATATTGAAGTACATTATATTGATTAATGCATTCTAGCTCAAGAAACAAAACAGCACATAGTTGCAGATGCTAACCAACTAAAAAGGAAGCTGCTAAATGAGTAAGATCAAAAATATCTCACTTGGGATAAATAAGAACCAATACCTTGAGGGTGAAAGTTCGCCCTTGCACTCCACAACCGTGCAATCGCAATGCCACTTCCTTGCAAAGGTTTATGAGGAAGCTTTCGCACTGGAACCACTTGTATGTCAATATTTTTATTGATTCAAGTTTGCAAGATAAGGAACTATAAAGTGGGCTATACAGAGCATCAGTATACTAACCTCCTTCATGTCATTGAATCTCACACCCCAATTTACTTCAGCGCCAATAGACTTACTTTCCTGCAAAGAGCAGATAATATCACTTTCTAAGAAACAATGAAATCATAACAAATGCAGGCTCATTAGAATAGACAGATTAACCTATTTAGGAGAAAAAGAAAAGAAAAATGAAGAATTCAATATTTAAATGAATGGGCTAAAAGTGACATTAGCCACCAGCTAGTGGCACACTTTGTAGAGTTCAGCATGATCAAGTGTAGTTTATCATATTAACTAGGCAATTTATATAATGCAATTCTAATCCACTACGCTATTGTTAGTCAACCTATAACTGAAACTCCAACAGCTTGATAAAAACAGATACCTTCACCCAAGCACAAGAAACATGTAAAAGACAAAATAAAAACAGATAAAAGAGATTATATGGCATCACAGATCAAATGTTTAATGGATTTTTAAACTCAATATTCAGATAACAACATGCCCTTCCAAACTACCTGAATGACCCCGACCAGTCTATTATCAATTCCTCTGCTATAATTCCATAGCATTTCCCCAGTTTTCATTCCAAAGTCCTTCTGCAGGGAGTCCTGCATGCAGATGCAATGTCTAGAGAATTACATCATGATTACCAATTCCATACACATAAGTTAAGTGAAACAAAACTCAAGATTAAGCAAGAAAAAGTTAAAGAATATCCCCAACAATGTCCAATAAAATCAACAAAGCAGCAATTAAAAATGATGTAAACGATTGGATCCATGAACAAAATTAATTCTTTTTTGGATTAAAAAAATTCAAAATTTATTGCTGAGAAGAGAGAACAATGCAAAAGGTGCAAAAGTAAAGGACAAGGAATCCTCCTCAAGCAAAGGAGAAGAAGAGAAAAAATGAGACTGTTAAACTCAAAAGGGATCTCCGATCACTCTAAATATCTACAAAGGATGCTCCTCCAAAATAAAAAATGCTGAAACAAACAAAAAACCTATAAAGCTAAGTATGAATGAAACTCAGGTCCCAAAAGATTAATTTAACAAGAAGTAGGCCTTGAAAATTTTGCTGAAAGATTATTTGAAAATACCTACACAGACACTTGCAAATATCACAGTTTCTGCTGCAAATCATTGGGAGTGACCTATACTCTCCCAAAAAATATCTAACATAAGAAACTTCACTTTTAAAAACCCTTGCAGTTTGTTCTGAGCAAAGACACCGCAAACGAGCAAAAACCGCATGCTACCAGAGGAATTTATGCTTATTTATTCAGCCAAAAATCATAAACTTGGCAGCAATTAAATCATGCAGATGAGCTTGACAAACCTCAAAGAAACCAAAACCATTAAGCCTGCCATTCTGCCAACCCATTTAACAAAGGACTAAAATAAGGGTTTTAAATTTTTCATCTTAGCAGGTCATAAAATAAAGCCTTTCTCCTTGGATTCTGGCTGCTTTATTTAAAATGAACTTCTCAGTCTATATTTTTCTGTACTACACAATTTCCATTCAAAACACCTTGTTCAAAAAATCAATGAGTTCAAAACATCTTGTCCCAAAATCAGAAGAAAATATATCAAGTGAAGCAAAAGTAAAACCTTGGAAATAATACGCAATTCTCCACAGGTGTGAACATTATGCTTCTTCAACTTCTCCTGTAAAACATGCCCTATCCCAGGAAGTTCACTGATTGGAAGTTGACACAGATGATCATCAGCCTGAGAAAATCGAACTTAGTCATAGGGGTAATATTCACAACATCCACTATGATATCAAATTTATGTCAGGTGTACAAATGTACAGATGATCATTGAAGAGATTGATTAATGTGACCACAGAGGAATATATTGACATCAAATGCTAAATTTTTATTGATAAGGAAATTGAGGTTGCAGCAAGGAAAACTAATTTCTAATGCCCGAGGAAGCTTAATCATAAGAATCTAGGGTGGCAAGATGAGGTCAATGTACAAGTTTTTTCATTAATAAACATAAGCTCGTCCTTTTGAGCAACAAAATATTGAATCTGACAAAAATCTGATGAAGCCAAGACCCCTGGTCTAGAAAGATGGAATTTATTGGCCACGCAAAAAAAGAGATTTCCAACAACAACTTTAAGGTGCAGCATAACATTGCCTTCAGGTATTTGTCAACAAAATAAATACAGCATAAATGCATTTTTGAACAGTTACCATCAAATGGTTTGATCAGCAAATACACAAGGCTAAGCAGGAACTTTTAGCATAAAATTCATGGAACAGCAGTTTCAGGATATAAGTGGAAAAATTGCCGGTGGAATAAGATGTAGGATTCATATGTTATAAATCTACCCAACCATAAAGGACAATATGCAACTTGAAATATATCAAGACAAACTTCTGAATAATAGCATGCTCCAAACCATACCATCTCAGGACTTATGTAATATTGACCATTTGGTTTTGCACTTTTAGTAGCAATTCGAGCCATAAGCATGTTTCCAGCTATCCCAGCACTTGCAGTACATCTAGTGGTCTCAAAAATCTCTTCTCTGATTGATGAAGCTAAAAGTTCAGGATCTTCGCCCTCCGCAACTGTGACCTCCAAGAATGCTTCATCACAGCTTACAGCCTGCACCAAGTATAAGTTAGCCCTAAGGAAAGCTAAAATAATACTGACTAAGATAGAGAGTGCCCAACCACAAGCAAACCTGAACTTTGTGGCAACGCCGGTGCAATATGCTATAAAATTGATCAGCCACCTACAAATTGTCCAAGTAATACTATATCTCAAAAATCAAATTTACAGAAATTTATCCATCTACTCCTTAAAACCTCCAAAGGTAATGTCTTAATGCTTCTTACCTCCTCATAAGCTTCAAAGTTGTACGGAAAAATTACAAGATCAGGACAAAGTGCCTTTGCATCTCGAACAAACATACCAGCCCTAACACCTAACAGAGAAGATAACACATCATCTATGCACCAAAAATTAATCCATAAAATGACAGTATAGCTGATAAAGTCAAATAATTTAGCATGTCACCAACCATAACTGCGAGCAGGGTAGTTTGCAGATGAAATCTCAGCCGTTCCTCTTGAATTATTTGAGTGACATACAGCTACAGGCTTGTCCAGAAGTTCAGGATGGTCCTTAATAACTACTGAGACAAAAAAACAGTCCTGACACAAAAAGCATAAATTCACAACCTTTATTAACCCAAGCTTGAGATAAGAAAACGACAAGAATATTCATGAAAGTCTACCCTCCAAATCACCACAGAATTAAAGCTAAATGGAATATTCCATCAAAATCATGGGACAATATATTGACAACAATAATGAACATCAATATCTTTCCAAGCAAGCTTACCATGTCAACATGGATGATGACTTTCTTCCCAGAAATAACAGGTGCATTAACATCAGAACTTTCCGGATTAAACTCAGTAGACAAGACGGGAAAACATTTTCGATATCGATTTCTCCAAGTTCCTATAAAGTGCAACCGCGAGCTCTGCAGATCCCAAATAGCTATCATGACATTACCAAACAGAGCCACAGTGCCTTTGGCAGCATATATGTAAACCAATGATTGATAATGTGATAGTGCGTGAGACAAGAAATCACGTGATAGTAATGCATGAGCATGAAGATATCATATATTGAAAAACTTCATAAGTACAATTTCTCATGCTTAGATATATCTCGAAAAGCCAGTAAAAAATTACACAACAATTCCTTCTTCAATCTTTATTTCTCCTTATTACTGATTCAATTTTTCAAAATATAAAAATGAAATAAGGTCAGGTAGTTTTCAAACATTGAGTGCTCAATCCACCTAATCAACAAAAGTTTATTTGATGTGGTGATCATTGAATACAGTCGATTGCCAACATCTTTTGAAGAATAATTTTGAAAAATTCAGCTGGCGAGTGGAACCATTATAGTAGAAGTTATAGAAGGGCCAAAGAAATGTACCGAAATAAGTTGTTATTCAACAAGAAATGTTCAACTGTACAATTGTTCCAACCTAACTACCTTGAAATAATTTTCCACAAATTTTGGGTCTACAAGAGTTGAGTGGCACTGTTTAGAAGGCCCGGTGGCCGTAGAACTTGGACATCCTTTTGAATTCTGGTCATCTAAGCAATAGCTACTAGCTGATGCAGCAGGTCCTTGATGACTAGGTTCAAGTTCACTTTGCACATCTCTCTCATCTTTAATAACGGGGTCAAGTTGCACTTCACAATAATTATCTGCACTGCTTGGCTCTTCACAAGTAGTTGCATTGATGTCCTCAGGGAGAATATCATCAGATTCAATACTTGTTTGCTTTCCAAATCCAACCATGTTATCAACTTTGGTTGAATATGTCTCCTCTGATTGGCTAACTCCCACTGATGAATCTTCAATATCACCTTCCACTGGGCTAGTAAAAGCATCTTCCGACCTTTTGCTACTTTTGGGTGTGAAGAAGGCTGAAAGTTTTGGTTGATTACTAGCAAGCTGATCAAGTAGGTAAGGCACCCCTGGAGACACAATTAGCATCACTCATTACATGATGACATAGAAAGACATGTAATATATTATCATTTTTCCAACATCAAAAAAAAAAAAAAAGTAAAACTTAAACAAGTGCACAGTGGTCATGAAAGAATTCAAATAGTTCAAATCTAGTTCCCTTCCCTCAGGAAGGTTTCATCACTCTTTTCTTGTTTCAATCTTCCTCAACAATCATGGGAAGACATTAATCCAGAGAAGGAAAAGAATTCACAAAACTGCCATAACTTACAGCTCAGGAGTCTGCCAGCAGCTACTGAATCTAATATCCAAGAGGGTTTCACAACAGGCAGCCCTGCACTGAAGGCTCTGTATTGAATCATCCAACAAACAGAATTACCTCAACTAAGTAATGTATCATGATAGGACTCAAATCTCAAGATTTAAAGAAAGTCAGATCAAACCTCAAGTTCTTAACTTTGCTGTAGGAAAGATTGCTGCATACAATATGTGTCACATTATGCCTTGAGAAATAATTTTCAAATCTTCCACCATATGTTAGCATGTAGCTTCGCAATTCCTGAAATAAATTTGTCATTAATGTCATGCCATCTCTTCAATTTTCCAAAAGCTTCAAAGAAATGAAGTTAAAAGAAATGACAGCTGTTCTTAATTAAAACTTTATTCCAAAAAAGTTTTTAAACCTTAAAAACATTACAGAGTACGACAGCTACATATCCTGAGCAGAACTTCCTCTGCATACAATCAGTAATAGTCCCTTCCTCTACATTAAGTGTTTGTCTGGTCAGAAGTACTTGGTTTTACATTTCCAAACATGCAAACAAATTCCCTAGAGTTACATTTTAAACAAGAATAGACATATAAAGCTTAAAGTTTAACATTCAATCCCTTCAAAGCTTAACTATGCCACGCAGGCTCTAGCTCCATAATTCCTGTTCTTGCATTCCCAGAGCCTTGACTAAAAAAGAAAATTGATAATCACACTTGATTCTCCGAACAGGAAAAAAAATGTTTACACATTATGGAGCCAACAAGGTTCGTCCTCAGCATAATTCCTGCTCCCATTTTTTTCATTTAATTCAAAATCTTTTTCCCCTTCCTTCAAGTTTCAGCAGTCAAGGTGAGAAAAATTGAACAACGGAACCATCAGAAAAAAAGATAAACCTGGCTTGAAGGAATCGTGAAACCATCCACAAAGATCGACACTCCAATAAATATAGGCTTTGCAGAACTAGAGCCACCAAAAGAAGAATTCGAAGCTTCATTATCAAACTGGTTATGTAGTTTCCGATTCTTCTCTGCCATATAACTGCATTCAAACAGCAGTCGAGTGTGACATAATTAAACAATTTAGAGCACGGTTATTCTTAACTTACTGAAGAGGTACAAAACTTAAGTTCGCAGTCGCTCTCAATCTTAAACTATTTCATTAAAGAAATTCTCATCGAACTAAAACAAATAAAGATAAAAATTATCAAATAAATCTGCGGAAGTCGTTGTAGTTTCTTTAGACTGAAACCAGAGATGCAGTGATTTCCTAACCATCTAATTTATTAAATTTCATTTTCAATTTTGATAGCAGATGGAAGTCTAAAATCGAAGAGCACAACCTGCCGAAATCGGAGAAGGGGGATTTTCGAAAGGAAGAACGAGAGGAAGAGCGAGAATTTGAGCCCCAAGCTACGCCTAGGGTTTCCTGGTTAGTATTCTTCTTCTTCTTCGTCTTGGTGCTATCATTAGAACGATTAGAAGACGCTGAATTACTGAAACTTCGCTTTGAATTTGCAGAGCGAGTGGAATCGAAACTCATTCTATTTTCAATTTCTCAGGGGAAGAGTACCAAGCAAGATTGTTATTTTTTGCGGGAACAAACAGCGATCTGTCCATGTAATACAAACAAAGGCATTCAAATGAAGCGGCAAATTCAGCTTCACCTGATTGGAGAAGAATCTCTGTTAGTTTGGCTGGCTTTTGGGTGAAGTTTGGCGATTTGATTAAATTATCATTTTTCATTATTATGAAACTGACCCCAATATTTTGAAGTTTTGAAATCACTAGCGCGCCCCCCATCCCTTGTTTGGAAGTTATAATTAATAATTAAACCCCGGGTAATAACATTTGCATCCTCCAGTAAAAAATGCAGGGCTCGTTTAAGGGGTATTTGGTAACCTTGAAAAATACTTCTCAGAAGCACTTTTCTGTAAAATGAGACAAACTCCTCCACATATTTATTTCGTAAACCGTAAAAACACTTTTGAAACTATAGTTTGGTTTCCATCTAAACACCCTAAAATTCCGTTCAAAAAGTACTTTTGGGGGGTGTTTAGAAATTAGAATAAGTATTTTTTAAAAGTATTTTTTCGTAAATCGAGATAAATTCATCTACATATTTATTTTGTGTATCGTAAAATCACTTCTGAAACTATAGTTTGATTTACATCCAAACACCCCCTTAAACAAGTTTACGTAAACCGAGACAAAACTCTCATTACATACTTATCTCATATTCCGTAAATCACATTTGAAAAGCTACTTATAAATCAATCCAAATAAACCCGTAAACGTCCCGACAAAAATTGACGTGGCATATTTAATAATCGAAATTATAGCTACATTTAAATGATCTTTAGAACATATTTATGTGTATGCATGTATTTAATTGTATTAATTCAAAAAAAAGTATTTAAGTGTATTAAATAAAAATAATAATCTCTCATAACTTATTAGTAAACTTTTAATTATAATTTACAAAATACAAGATGTGAGAAATGTTTTGTATCGACTTATTTGAATCATACTTATAGTCGCCAACTCAAATCAGCTCTACATGTTATAGATATTTTTTGTTTTGCCGCACGTCTGCATGTTATAGATGTGTGCTTCTTCCTCTTTACAAGAAGGAAAAACATTACATTTGCCAATGTTAGGATTTCATGATAGCATGAAAATTATTGTTGATGCATGGTTCTTTTAACACAAGTCAAATTAATTTTAAAAACGTATTAAAATACTCCTCCGGTCCTAATTATAAGACCCAATTGACTTATTTGAGGAGATTAAGGAAGTAAGTTAAGTTGGTTATTTATAATACTACCTCCGGTCCTAATTATAAGACCCAGTTGACTTATTTGAGGAGATTAAGGAAGTAAGTTAAGTTAGTTATTTGTAATAAATAAGTGTTGTCATTCCTAAAATATCCTTGCTAATTAAGTGTATTGGCTAGAACTATCATTATTAGAAGGATTATTTTGCAAAAAAATGCATAAATATGAGAGACAAAATGGATTAGGGTCTTATAATTAGGACCAAACAAAAAGTCAAATGGGGTCTTATAATAAGGACCGGAGGTAGTAAATAAGTGTTGTTATTCCTAAAATATCCTTGCTAATTAAGTATATTGACTAAAACTATCATTATTAGAAGGATTATCTTGGAAAAAAATGTATAAATATAAGAGAGAAAATGGATTGGGTCTTATAATTAGGACCAAATAAAAAGTCAAATTGGGTCTTATAATAAGGACCGGAGGAGTACCTAATTTTCATAAAATCATTATAGTTGAGTTCGATACTTAAATTCTCTTCACTAAGATAATTTCTCAGTCACAAGATATTTTAATTCTACATTCTTTATATTTTATTCGACCATAAACACCAGATCAAAATAATTGATCAGATCAGACTCAACCAATCGACTTTGGTCACAACAGAAAAGTTGTGTATATCTCACCGATTATTTTTCTACACTCCCCTTTACTCTTTTGGGAGTTTTGTTTTTGTTTTATTTTTCGCTTTCCTAGGCTCGATATCCTCTTAAGAGCTAATCCTGTTTAATATATTGACCGGTATTAAATATAAATATTTCTCTCGGCAGATTTTAAATTTTGGTTTGCGGATGTTGTGAGAGATTCCACTGAACACAACCTTGGTAGTTACACTTTTTTTTTCATATAAAATGATGGTTGGACTTTTGGTTTAGCTGGCTAATTTCTGTTAGCATTATGAATATTGAGCTTGTGTTGGGTTTGGTTTTAGTCAAGGAATAATAAGAGTCTTCTCCGGATTCATATATTTTAATTCAAACCACCGGGTACAATATAGTGTCTGTTTGGAGTCATGGTGAAAATTTTCTATAAGCACGTTTTACGTAAGTCAAGATAAAATTTCTTTCACATACTTGTCTCGTATTTCGTAAATTACTATTAAAAAGTTATTTATAAGTTACTTATAAATAGTTCCAAATGGGTCCACAATTGATATTCAATTGGGTTTTTTAAGTATTTAGTGAGAGTTGGAATGTCCTGAAAAATGATTCCGGGAAAAAAAAAATAATGATGGAAATTAATTGTAAATGTGATTATTTTTCTTTTTTCCTCGTAATAATGATATATAGTTGCAACATGCAAGCAAACTGTAGTCATTAAAGGGAAACATTCTGCTATGACAAAAAAAAAAAACAAATGAAAAGCGACACATTCTGCAGCCAGTGAAGTGCCACACCATAGCTAATCTGAACCACATATGCCCAACCGCAAGTCACAGCTGAATTGAATGTTACCCTGTATCTCTCCTATCTGCACCGCACATTCTCCCTCCTCATAGATATAAAATATTTGCAATTGCCTCCTACTTTTATAACACACTTCTACAATTTACTGAAATTAAAAAAATCTTAATTAATATATTAAAATTTAACAACTTCTTAATTTTATTCTGAGTGTTTGATATATATATTAAGAAACTAATAATATTAATTCAGGATACATTGTACTCCTTCTAGTCCATAATATAAGAAGTTGATTAACTCTTCTCACATCTTAAGAAATATAAGTTTAATCATTAAATGTATCCTAGGATTATAATTTTCTTCTATTTTACCCCTAAAAATGATAAAATAGCATTCAATGTTACATTAGGGGCAAATGCGAAAAAATCATACTACCTCCGGTTCTAATTACAAGAGCTAGTTGACTAATTTGAGAAGATTAAGAAAATTAGTTAAATTAGTTATTTGTAATAAATATGTGTTGTCTTTTCTAAAATATCCTTACTTACTAAGTTGATTGGCTAGAACTACTATTATTAGAAGGACTATCTTGGAAAAAATATATATAAATATGAAAGACAAAGTAGATTAAAATCTTATAATTAATACCAAAATAAAAGTCAAACAAGGTCTTATATTAAGGACTGCAGATAGTATGAACTATCCTGACAACGTCTTATATTTTAGACCATAATTTTTTTTCTAACCAACTTCTTATATGAGGGACTAGAAGGAGTATATTCATATAGTAAATTTAATTAGTGACTTATGTTAAGAACAAAAAATATCATATTCTGCTCTATAAATAAGATCAGTAACAGTGATATTTGTTATTAAAAAAAAAAAGCCTAGTATACTCCATTATTTTTATCTTGACTAATTAAAAGAAAACAAACATTAAACAGATGATGAAACCAAGAAACCATTAGATAACATCACATAGCACCTTATATAACAGTTTACGGTTATAATGGATCAAGAAAGTTTTTTAAGAATATATCAGGAGGACCAGGGAGAGTGTAATTATCACGTTATTCTCACTACATTCTTACTACGTATTGACCCATTAAATTTTTATGTGATATAAAAAAATAAACAATTTTTTTACCATGACGATATAATAAAATTTAATTTCTCCAAAAAAAAATTATATTGAAAGGGATATTTTTGAAATATGTAGTAATATATTAAGAATAAAAAATAAAACGTAATAGCATAGTGCAAAGAACTCTCTCCGTCTTTTTATAAAAGCCTGAAATTTGAATTGCCTTAATCTTTTTCATGAATCTAATTAGGGTTGTCTGAATATTAATTATGTTTTTATCATTTTTGCCTCTAATTAATTTTATGTGTTGACAACTTGCTATAGTACACTTTCTTTCACACCTTCTTTCATTAATATTATTCTATTTATCTTTCTTGCTTACTCCCTTATACATAAGGATATACTTGAAAAAAATTATTATTTTTACATGTTTATTATTTTTAACTATTTTTTAAATTGTGTAATTTAGTTACCAAGCTCAAATGGACCGGAGAGGCTATATCGATGTGGATCTGCTCTCAATATCTGTTGCATGCATGAAAGATAAACTGGTGCCACACATATTAGCGCAATTGCTCCATCATCGATTACATCCATGACGTGAGATAACAAGCTATGAAAGACAAAGCTCAAGTTTGTCTTGCTACCATGTTTTATAATACTAATCACAAAAACAATCGAATTCAGGGTAGTAAATAGCCAAATAATAAATAAATAAATAATGAGAAGCTAGTTTTTCTCTTACACGTGGCAGTCTCCCGACCCCATCAACAATCCGAGACAAAATAAACTGGGACTACGTATACAGTTGCAAACAATTGCATGCCTTTCGAAGATGAGGGCGTAGAAGAATCTGCGTTAGAAAGCGAAAAAAAATTGGCCTCATTAATGAGTCCAACCTAAAATCTCAAAACAAGACACAATTAGCCTCTTTCGACCACCAGTTCCTCATCCATCCCTGGGCTCCTCTGCTTCCAAGTTGTCCCTTCCTTCATCATTCATTCCTTCCATAAATTTCTCATTCATGGTTCATCTCCCAAACACCCCTACACGAGAGAGAGAAATCAAACTTAGCTTTCTCTCAATAATGGATATTTGGTCATGGATATGCGAGCTCCCCAACCTGGACGACTGGTCCGAATCACCTGTATTCGAACTCGTCAGTTCAGGCCAAGCTGATCAGGACGGCTCCACTCAGTCCGTCCATTTAAGAGCTGACCGGACTTCTGGGTCGGAATCTGAAGCTGCCGTGATTTTCACTGTTTGCTTGCAGGGGTTTCCCCCGCTCAACGCTGAAAAACCTCTCTGGGTCTCTGAGAAATGTCACGTTTCTAGAGAAAACCCATTCCTTCCTCTGATTGTACAGCTTGTTCAAGAGATCATAGCACTCTCCCCCAACGCGCCAAACAGTACGTGCCCAAGGGCACAGCTCCAGAAGCTCAAACCCGAGCCTATCGCGTGGGTCATGGACTCTCACTCGCTCGAATCCTTCTCCACCTTCTTCAACCTCGTCTTCATCTTACGCCTCTTCTGGCTCTGCGCCTGCGACGCCCCCAACGAAGCTGGCTCTCTCTATTTTCAATCATTACTACCTTCGGCGCTCGAAATCGTCTCATCGAGCCCGTTGCCGGTTCTGCGAACTTTCTTAGTCACCGTTGGTATAGACACGGAGTTATGCTTCATGCGCACCCTCGGGTACGTAGTGGCAAAATTGTGCATTTTCAGAGAGCTAGGCGTAGGATTACAGGTGTTGGTTCCGCCGCCATGTCGGAGCCCGGGATTTTCATACTCCACGGAGGCTCACGGCGTTTGGGCTCTGAAGGGCTATGCTTCGATGATGACTATGATGAAAGTGGCGAGTTCCGATGGTTTGAAACCTCAAATTCCTCGTCTTGATGCTAAGGAGTCAGTATTAAAGTACGCTCTTGCCCACCAGCAACTTGAGGCCCTCGTCCAGTTAGAATACTCCGTCGCTTTCAACGATGGGTTCATTCAGGTTCTTGCACGCATCGACAACATACGTCTTCACGTGGCGAAGCTCGGGTTCAAGAACCAAAACGACGAGGCGGAGTACGGCGAGGAGAAGCACTTCCCGTCAAGAGTTCGAATCTGGGTCGGCCCGGAAGTCGGAGCAACATACGTGGGCGGGTTGAGCTTGAGCCGATCAACAGGGAACGCGGAGAAAGAAGTGGAGATACAGAAAATCGTGAAGGGACATTTCCAGAACCTAAAACTTTCCAAGGGAAAAGCGGTGGCCAGGACATCTACGAAGACGAAGATGAAGAACTGGAGGATGGACCAAGAAGCGGAGGGGAACGGGGCAATATTCGATGCCGTTCTGTACGACAACGCGACAGGTCAGGAGGTGGCAACGGGGAGGCCGTACGGGGAAACAAGTGATGACCCGATTCATGGGTTGAGGAGGAGGTACGTGGGAGCGAATAGACCGTTTACAAAAACCGGGTCGGTGGTGCTCGCGGGGGACGAGTATGGAGAAGAAGTAGGGTGGAAGCTGAGCAAAGAGATGGAAGGGAGTGTGCTGAAGTGGAGGATAGGAGGGGAATTTTGGGTAAGTTATTGGCCAAATCAGGCAAAGACATCATTTTTTGAGACGAGGTACGTGGAATGGTGCGACGAGGTTGATTTGCCTCTTATTCCTGGCAAAATGATCGTATGATGGAACACACGACGGTGAAGAATTTATGTAAATATCCCATGAACTCTACAAAGATTATTAATCAATTAGCTTCTTGATGCTAGATAGATGTGGGTTAATTAGATTGCAATGTCAGGCGTAATGTAGTAATCCACATATGCACTACTCAAATGCTTCATATCTCCGAATTATATATAGAAGATATATGATATGAAAAGAATTCTAAAATAATTTTATTTATCAAATCACTAACTTAATCCTTTAATTTAAAATTTTAGTATTTTTGTATTTAAGTTTGAGCTTTTTTTTTTCCTTTTATTTTTACACTTCATTTGTTGCATGACAACGAGCGGCTTCTAATTAAATCGATAACACACCATTTTTCCTGAAACTTCAAACATGTTAATTACTCTGTGTGCAAGAGTGGTACTTCTCCCGTCCTTAATATAAAACCCATTTAACTAATTTAATTAGTTTAGAAAAGTTAGGTGAGTTAGTTAATTATAAGAAATGTAACATATTTTTCTTAAAACACCATAATCATCTTTCTTAGTACCCTCTCTCCCTCTTCTACCTGATTATGGTTGAAGGAATTTCTATAAGAGTAATTTAAAGAAAATTGATAAATATGATAAATGGGTTTTATATTTAAGACCAAAACCAACTCAAGAATTGGGTCTTATATTAAAGATAAGGGGAGTAATTAAGAAGAGACCGGTCGCGAAGAAGTCATATGAACGGTCCAACATTCATATTGATTATATACATTGCTCTATTCACGGCAGTGGTCACCGGGTATTCACTGGAGAATGAGATAATCATGCTGACACGTAAGTTTTTTTTTTCTTCCAAAAATATATGTAGAGGAAGGCAAAGCCTTGGGGAAAAAGAGAAAATAATTAAAATTAATAAGAAGAAAGTAATGAATAGCGTAAGCTAAGAACCAAATCCATAAATTAAAGAGCGAAGTGTAAAATGTTAGAGAAAATAATTACACAGTTGATTCACCCAACTAAAATAGTGGGACAGAGGGAGAGGTGCTGGTGCACCAGAAATCTGAAGACCACTATTTATAGTATTTCCTCCGGTCTTATATATAAGCTTCAAATTTAAAAAGTAATAAGGTTCATTTTATAAGGTTAAATTTAGTTTTTTAAACATTTAATACATTTTTTCAATGTTACTCATAATTATTTCTCTCTTATCACACTTTTCCACACATTCACTTTCATCCTTAATTATTCTCATTTATTACAATGGTATATTTAATTAAAAATAAAAATATACGTCTAACCTGTTTACTGTTTTTAACTAATTTTAACTACTTATTTGTTATCCATATATTAGTTATTTAAAATTTATAATAATAACCAGGTGGAGTTTTTTTTTTTTAAAGGGCAGACGCAAAGTGCCTGTAATGATCACCTTTCGAAACTCACAAGAAACAATTACAAAATAGCAATGATTAAGCTAAATTGCCAAAGAAACCATAAAACATCATTGATATTCATTCAGCATATATATATATTCAGTCATATAGGTATCTGTTACAAGTCTAGAAAGTGGTACTCAGAGATCAATACCAGTAGGAAGAAATTGCAGGGAGAAGAGAAGAAAGACGAGACGGAGAGAAGGGAAGAAAAGCCAGTGGGAAATGATTCTGAAATAATTCTTCGATAGCATACACGTTGCCTCCCCTTCTGCTTTATATTCCCATCTCCGAACCCCACTTGGATTCTACCAATTTGCGCCCCTTCAAATGAGCTTTTGGCCCATTTCTTTCCATCAGGCCCACACACGTTTCTGGACCATGACAGTGCCCCAAAAGTACCTGGCAATTACCAACGGCGTTTGGATCCAGCACAAGGAACTAATCCCTCGTAACGTGACAAACTAAGGTTCAAATCTTTATTGGGAGAGGTATCCACATTTAATATCCGATAGTGTCTCGAATAGGATTGCCTCTAATAAGAGAATACCTGTACATTAGTCCAAAAAAAAGTACCTGGCAATTAAAATCTTCCACCATTTCACACGCGTGAAGTGCAGACGCACCATTATGTTCACTGTGCTCGCGTCGCCAATTGACATGCGTCTCCATCTCCTTTTAGCTCTTTACAAAATGTTTTACCAAAGCTAATTTTGAACTTTACATTTTCCCCATTAATTATTGTTCTTCGATCAATCATTTTCACATGTTAATTTTAACAAATTCCATTTTCATTCTTTGGTTTCCCCCATTTACTTTGTTGTTATTGTTTTAGAATCCTAAAACTCTTTCATTTCTTGCCATTACGGTTCGAACCAGGACCAACCAGAATCTTTATCACCGTGATTACTGTTACGTAAGGTGGCTATGTTATGTTTCAATATCTACAAAGACGTCTCCCTTGTTTGATGAGCATGGGCATATCTTGAGAGCCATTTCTATGATACTATCCTGCATGCAATAATGGGTTTGATACCTTTGCTCAAAATAACTTAGACCCTTATAAAAGTGGCTGTTAAGAAAAATATTAACTACCAAAAGCGGCTTATGTATAAAAATGCAACTTATTTGAAAATATGACCTATATTTATTTCTGGAGGGAGTGTATTAGAATTTCTTCTGCGGGTGTTGGGCCTGTAGGAGAATGTAGATCTAGAAACGAGATGAATTTTTTGCGAAAAGAAAGGAGTGGTGGGAAATAAAAAGTTCCAGTCCTTATCACAATAACAAACATCATGATACTCATCATTATGATAAAATCTAAACTATTCAAATCAATTTTAGTGGTCTAGGTTTAAAATTTTCAACTAGTAATTTTTAAATAAAAAATTTATTTTTTAAGAAACTTACAACTAAGAATTTAAATAGTTGAGATTTGATTGGTATCATAGTACTCATCAATGCAATGAGCAGTGAAACTAGTTTCATGGTAGGTGGTGGGAACAGATGTGATAGCTAGGTGGGAGTCTTGTAATGATAAGAATCTGTTAATAAGATGGTCCAAATTTTTTGCATGACCGAAGTAATTGCTTAATATTTGTCATTTTTTTCCATATAATCGTAAAGTATTTATGCGTATTTTTTATTTACAAGGTGTATGCATAATAGATGTTCAAAATGGAGAGAAGATACTAATAATTTCATAATAGATCTATTTTAATCTAAAATTTTATTCTGTATTTATAGAAAACGAAATTATAATCCATCAGATACTTGGGAACCTTAATTTTTCTCCTTTTCTTTTGACATATTTTAGTTTGGTTGGATTATAAAAATTTTCCTTTTATATTCGATTATAATATAACCAGACCACCTATTAGATGTGAGGCTTCTTTTATATTGTACAAACCAGAAAGAGATTAAAATGTGAAAGCTCAGTTAATTTCATATTATTATTATGTACAAGGTCCGTGGTTTTGCGGAACTAGTGGTGTTGATTGCAGTGATGAGCATGCTTATCGTCATAGTGACATCTACACAAATTTAAATACAGTTTTAATAGTTTAAATTTAAAATTTTTAACTAATAATTTTTAAATAAAAATTATTTTTAGAGAATTTACAATTAAGATACTTTTAAAAAACAAAAATTTAAAAATTTAAATCTTCATCATCCATATTAAATGTGAACCTATGAATGAGATTTCATGAGTATAGAACATAACCAGTTTCACTGCTCATCGCTTTGATGAGTATTGTAAACTTATCATATCTGAATTGTTCATATCTCATTTGGATGATCCAAATTTAGTTTCTTTATAATTTTTATTTGTTCAAGATAATTATTTTAATATGTATAGAATCTAAAATAAAGATAATATCTTAACTATCACTTTTTTCCCAAAAAAAATAACTTTTCTTATTTAAAAATAATTAATTAAAAATTTTAAATCTGTACGTTTCAGATCATGTATATAGACCACCCAAATCAGACTTTAAGGTGGCCATGAAAGTGACGAGCAATGGTCCCCATGCAACCAGCGAAACCGGTTGCCAATGAAGTCGTGAAGCTCTCGGCATAGTTGATTCCATGCAACTTTAGGCTGGAGTCTTGTAATGATAAGAATCTGTTAATTAGATGGTCCAAATTTTTTATAAGATTTTGAAGTAATTGCTTAATAATATTTGTCAATTTTTTTTACATAATCTTAAAATATTTAATTATGTATATTTTTTATTTAAAAGATGTACGCATAATACTCCTCCGGTCCTAATTATAAGACCCAATTGACTTATTTGAGGAGATTAAGGAAGTAAGTTAAGTTGGTTATTTATAATAAATAAGTGTTGTTATTCCTAAAATATCCTTGCTAATTAAGTATATTGGCTAAAACTATCATTATTAGAAGGATTATCTTGGAAAAAAATGCATAAATATAAGAGAGAAAATGGATTGGGTCTTATAATTAGGACCAAATAAAAAGTCAAATTGGGTCTTATAATAAGGACCGGAGGAGTAGATGTTCAAAACGGAGAGAAGATACTAATTAATAATTTCACAATAGCCCTATTTTAATCTGAAATTTTATTCTGTATTTATAAAAAATAAAATTATAACCCATCAAATACTTGGGAACCTTAATTTTTCTCCTTTTCTTTTGACATATTTTAGTTTGGTTGAATTATAAAAATTTTCCTTTTATATTCGATTATAATATAATAACCAGACCACCTGCGATTAAGTGTGAACCTAAGATTGAGATTTCATGAGCATGGAGCAGTGAAACTGGTTTGTGGGCTTCCCTGAAACCGGGAAGCTCTCGGCATAGTAGATTCCATGCAGCTTCCTGGCATGCAATGATGCGGCCCTAGTGACATACGAGATTTCCATCGATCCTCTATAAATAATATGCCCCGGTCCCATCAAGGACGATCCACATCTAGGTACGCATTTCCTGACTCCTCTCAAAGTGCTTCCATTCTCCCTCTTCATTTCTTAAATTTTGTCCGCGTGTTCTTTCTCAGTTAGAAAACCGATCTAGGGTTCTTTGGCCATAGAAAATATATTGATGCCAAAGAGGGGCAAGGGGAAGAGAGAAAGTTGAGGGATTTCAACTGGGCACTCCCTTGTTCTTTACACGCAGCCTTGGATATCTACCAGAGGAACTTAGATTATTCTCTCTCCCAGCTTGCTCATTAAGCTTCCATGACCACTTCTTCAACCCACGCAGCGGAGTCCGAGCAGACGGTCACCAGCAGGCTGGCCGGCCTCCGGCCGCCCAGGAGGGACTTTTTCAATCAACAAGTAACCACCGTCCCGCTGG